CTTTGCTTCTACTTTGCTTTTGTACTAAAACTGCATCACGTTTAGTTTCTGGAACTGCATGAATGTGCATTGACACAAATATTTAAAATAAGGAAACATCAACTTTCATCTAAAATATTCTTCAGGGAAAACCTGTGACTGATTTCAGTCTCAAAACTAAAACTCTTCAGAATAATTAAGAAGGTAACTGCAGGACATGATTTCCATATAGCTGCCTTGCAGAACTGGGAATATGGTTGTGGAACAGTTTTAAAGTCCTGAATTAAGTGAGGGAAAGAGAAACCTTTGGATAAGAATCAGGTGGATGATATAGAAATTTCCTAGCAGAAGGGGGGGAAAAAAAAAGTATTATGTAAATATTATACATATATATGTGTTTATACATGTACAAAATATTAGGGCAAGATAATTTTTTAAATTATTTTTATTTCAGAGAAGGGCAGGTCATTTAGAATCTTGTCACTTTGGACTATAATGGAATGATAGGAGAAGCTGAAATAATAAGCTTTATAACACAGGAAATGATGGTTGCAATTACTAGTCTTCATTTTGGAAAAGGTGAAGAAACAGGATTCTTTGTAGAAACAGAAAGATAAAGGCACACATCACCTCACAGAAGGGCTCAAGTGAGGTGCAATGTTTCAGTGGATGTTATGTTTGGAGAAGCAAGATCTTCTTGTGGCAGCACCTTCTCCTAGTGCTTGTTTCCTCATTTCCATCCTCATGCCATTTTTCTACTTCCTCGGACATGTCAACTCTGCTGTGTTCGGGCTCTGCTGTAAAATGGATTAATAGACTGCTCTGGGTTTAAAAAACCCAGATAAAAAGCATGGGAGTAGGAAGTAATTGTAGATGCTAAAAGGCAGGAAGCATCTAAGCTGGCATCCTTACAAAGTAGACTACATAATTACACTCTCAGAAAGAAATATTAAAAACTAAGAGCCATTAGAGAAGATAAAGGGGAAAGCAGCCACAGAACACCTGACCACCAGGAAAACACTAAGGGAAAGGCTGAAAGGAAAAGGCCTGCATGTGTGAGGGTACTTGGAACCAAGTAAACAACACATTTTAGGCATTCTTCCTAAATAAGCACTTAATGAATGTGTCACTTATTTCTGCCCTGAGGGGCAAGAAAAACATTATACTCTGGGAATTAACCAAGAACAGAGTTTGTTCCCAACATTTCTCCAGACTTGTGCTTTTTAGCTCCTCTCCTCACCTCTCCTCCACAGCCCCCTCACAGCCCCCTCAGTGGTGCGGGGCCCTTCCCTACAGGCCTCTTCCAGAAGGTTCTGGGCCGCTGCGCCTGCCTCGCCTCAGCGCTGCCCCCCTCCCCACAGCCCTGCCGGGACAGGGCTGTCTTCCTTCACGCTGTGGAAGATGAAATGTCAGCCCCGCTTCTGCGGCAAAGCCTTCAAAAGGCATTTAAAAGGAGTTGGGACTGGTGGGAGTGGGGGAATAGGGAGATGCTGGAGGTGGTGGCAGCACCTCAGGGGCTGAGTCAGCAGCAGAGCCCCCCTGGGCTGGCTCCTTCTGAGGCTTTAGCACCCGGGCGGTGTGAACCCCGAGTTCTTGTCAGAATCAACTCACTCCTTTACCTTTCAAGGAAAGCTCCAAGATTCCTCACCAGCCCATTTTCCTCATCAAAGGGAACAACCAAGGTTTCATAACCAAGAAGTCACCTATTTTCTCCCCCACTCAGGCCTGCTTAAAAACTGCCAGAAAAGTAAGGGAGGGGAAAAACTAGTTATTTTGTGCTCTTGTGGTTTTCTCAGTGGGTGGGGAGGGGAAGAGGGTAATCAAGTTGAGGATAATTCTCCATATAAGTTCACAAAATCATAGAATCATTTATTTTGGAAAAGACTTTTAAGATCATTGAGTCCAACTGTTAACCTAACACTGTCAAGTCCACCACTAAACCATGTCCCTAAGCACCACATCTACACATCTTTTAAATATCTCCATGGATGGTGGACTCAACCACTTCCCCTGGGCAGCCTGTTCCAATGCTTGACAACACTTTCAGTGAAGAAATTGTTCCTAATATCCAATCTAAACCTCCCTTGATGCAACTTGAGGCTGTTTCCTCTTCTCATATCACTTGTTACTTGGGAGAAGAGATCGACACTCAGCTCACTACAGCCTTCTTTCAGGCAGTTGCAGACAACAATAAGGTCTTCCCCGAGCCTCCTCCAGGCTAAACAGCCCCAGTTCCCTCAGCCGCTCCTCATAAGACTTGTGCTCTAGAGCCTTCATCAGCTTCATTGTCCTTCTTTGGACACACAAAGTTACAGTTAATAATAAAAGCCACTCAGCCAGGTCATCTTGAAGGCTTGCTGCTGAACTGCTTGGCTTCAATACAAAAACTAAATCAGTATTTAAAGACTGACCTAATGTGATTTTTTTCAGGTGACGTAAAGTATTTTGGGCCAAAAATGCCTTTTATTTCAAAGCAGTAGAATTAAATTGTAGAAATCAGTGTGAAATCTTGATTTCTCTGATGCTACTGGAAGAGCTTTTCAGTGCCTGAAGAAAAGGAGGCAGTGAGGCAGCTGGGCTGCAGCAAGTGGAAAGCCCGCTTTCCCAACCTCCAAATTACAACCTGACCTCTTCAAACCCTGCCAGCCGAAAGAGGGGCTGACGTGCAGCAGCGTTTCGGCACGAACGGCTCTCTATAAAAAAGCTCAACATCCGCTTTGTGTTTTAAAGCCACGTTGTGATTCCCCAGTCTAAATTAAATCCAGCTTTTTAAAAGACTCCAGAAGTACACCGAAGAGCAGCCAGAAATTTTCAAGAGGTTTCTCGGGTCCCACTTCCTGGCGGTCGGACTCCGAACTGTGGGCTTGTTGTGTGGCTGATTTGAGAAGACGATGACAACCCCGTGAGGTGTCACCGCTCGATGCCCGGCCCTGCAGCTATAAGCGCGCTGGCTGCCTCGGGGTGCCCGGCCCCCCCCCCCGGGCCCTTCCCGCCGCCGCCTCAGTGGCCCCGGGGCCTTTCGCTTCCTCGTGGTTCCCCCTGGTGGCCACGGGGAACCGAGGCACCGGGGAAAAAAAAAAAAACAAAAAAAACAGAAGAAAAAGTAAAGGTCACCTCAGTTTTGCCCGTGGTCAGGCACACGGTCACGTCGATGGTGCAGAAGGCCAGTCCTCGGTTACGAACACCTTGGCTCCTGGATCTTAACACGCGGTACACCCCTGTGCCAAACAGTAGGTTAAACGCTGTTGCCTTCAGCAGATGCATTCCTGCATATGGTATGTCAGCTAGGAACCCAATCCTGTTATGAGCTTTTGGCATCACATGCAAGAAGATACTTCAAACCTATATATTTTTATAGGAGATCCATCACATTCCTCGGCAAAGTGGTACTACTGCTTCAATGAAAAACTAGATCTGCTAGAAAGTGTACTGGAACACACATGCTTTTTAGGAAGTATAGCAAGTCATGTGCTACTTCAAGCTGGTAAACTAGACACATTAACTTGGAAAAAAACACATAAATGCATTTCTATAAATAGATCTTGAGCAATAGCCCAAATTGTCAAGTCAGAACACTTAGTTTGAGATAATGAATTCCACACCAAATTACTCCACATCAATCCTGTAATTTTTTCTGTAAATTGTTACATATTTGAGGAAGATGCTTCAGCATACAATAATTGTGCTGAAATTAGGTTTGGCAAGGGATTACAGCAGCTGCAGGATCTCTTTGTTGGACTGAGCACGAGATCCAAGTCTTCTGAAAGATACTTTAATATAAGACCATTACTAAAGAGGCAAAGCTTAGAACAAATGGGCCACAAAGGCCAAATTCTGCCGGTTAAGTTAGTCTGGTATCAGCACATTAGTGCTGTCATAGCTGGTAATAGCAATCGGAAGGGTAGAAGTAACAGCCAAAGCAAGCCAGGACGTGGCAGCCAGAGAGACAGGAATCCAAGGGTTGGCAGTGACAGCTGAAGACACAGCTGGGAGACATACACAGTACACTTGGTTTAGGGACATGGCCTCTACTTTCCAGCCTGATAATGAAGTGAACCAGAAAGGCAACCACCAGATGAATCTGTACCTTGAAATCTGGTGAGTAAACAATTTTAAAGCAATCCAATAAAATTGATCCTTTGACATCTACCAAAGACAAAATACCTTTCTTTACATAGTTTTTGACACAGACTCTACAGTGGTACCATATTGTGAGCAACAACAAAGTATTCATGGTTAATAAATGGCAGCTGTTCACTGACAGTAACTGGTCATGAGCTGCATACAGATTAACATTATACCTCTCACAGTTTAACAAATGTAACTAGATACAGCTGGGATTTTTTTTTTTTTTTTTCCTTTTAAATTAGGAAGTACCCATCCTTTGGAATTCTTTGGATAGAACCAACTTCAGTAAAAGTTAGTTGAGAGGCTAGAACTTTAGCAAAAATAAGTTTTTAGAGCATCAACTAGGACACAGCACCAACACAACACCTCAACAACTAATTAAAACCCTTGCTGTGCTGTTCTACTCCCTATGAAAATCCTCAATAGTGGACTACAAGCTTGCAGAGCACCACAGACTAGTAAACCTGCTTATCAAGCCACTCTAGGATAGAGAGCTCACGCTCACATCCTTGAACAAAACTGAAAGCACAGGGGTTAGAACCTGCTCAGAGTTCTGGGCACATGCCCTCTTTCTCCTGAAGTTTCAGTTACTTCCTCAGAAAGGAAAGGAGGTAGTTTAACAAAGAAACTATTTCCCATGTAACTAATGTCCACAATTTGTTGTGATGTGTTTGAAACTGAACCTGAATAACTAGGGGGATGATTATATAAAAGGTTTATTGTAAGAAGAAAACCCCTTTCCATTTCAGATTAATCAAAGACATTATTTACTATGAAAGTCACAACAGTGTAAGATAGCCAAGCAGTAACAGCATGCACTCTCTAACCTTTGGAAAGGAAAACCTGTCAAAACACTTTCTCAAAAGGTGCACGTAAAGAGACACAAAGGCAAATTATAGAAAAAGGTACCCATTTATTCAAGGTATGACAAGGATATTTACAGTATTCATTTGCTCAGAATAAGATCCAACCTTACAATTTTTAAAGCAGCAATTATAAATTACATTTAAAAGGGGAAATGTTCCAAGCATGTTTCTGTTAAAGATATTTCTACAACAACAGAAACACTTTAAGGCTAAGTCATCTTGACCTTTGCTGCCATCCACATTTATCCTGGCAAAACTGTCTCAAAGACAATGTTACCTTGAGGGATAAACACTACGCTAAATTCAACATACAATTTTGTTCCCTCAGACGCTTTTTCACAACAATTCACATCTGACAAAAACTGACTTTTGAGTTAAACAATGAATTAAATAGAAGTGAGATGAACTGCCTAAAACTTGGCATTTCAGAGGGCTAAAAGATCATCTACAGCAACACATTCATCACCTCTGAAACATATCATCAGCTTTCTCGTTGATAAAGGTACTTCAGCTTACCAAACAATTTGCTTTCCGTCAGAGCTCCGTAGTCAGGCAGTGCAATCCACCTTTCCCATCACATTACTTATCAAAAGACAGGAACAAAAGTCTTCAGATAACTGACTTCTAATGTAAATGATGAACACTCTCTGCTTTAAACAGTACTTGATTCCCACAGTACAGACTAGTGTTCTACCAAAGCAAACAAGATGAGTTTGCTAAACTGCTGTAGTGTTATTCTCTAGCCTTTTTAACACACAACAGATCTATGGACGCAGTTAAAATTGGTTTCTCTCTTGAGGTAGAAGCCACGAGTCCTATTTAGTCCTGTTTGTAAACTATAACACTCATGCCATCAGGCAAATATAGCCACTTTTTGTCATTTATAAAATAAACATACTGATTATTCAGATGCTACTCATTGCAAATATAATGGCATTTTTTCCACTGAATCATTTTGTGCTTGTTTGAGAAGGAAGCAAATTAAATATTGGGAATAGTAGATTGTGGCTATTTATACAGTTGTAATGCAAATAGAACATATCTCATACAAATGAACTTCATAGCAACCTCCAAAAGGGTAGGTATATGAGGATTCTTCTTAAAAGTTATTTTGGAAAATACCAATTTTAACTGCATAATAAAGAGAAAAAAAAATATCAAAGAAAACAGTCATTAGACCTGTAAGACTACATAGCTACTTGAAATACTACCATTGTATTTTGGTAATTTTTTTATGATTACATTTAAAGGGAAGAGAAAGTTAAACACACCAGCAACCCCCCCAAGCCTGCACAAATACAATTTACTTAATTATGACATTTTTTTAGGTGAGGACACTATGTAACTAAACCTATTGAAAGTGCACAATGTTCAACATTCCAATAGAAGCAGAAACATGATCCTTGCATTAGTAGGAGACATTTATTCCAGGTTAGATAAGAATCTATGTAACAACAAAGTTGTTGCTGTGACTGATAGAAGTTTTAAGTTATTTGAAGAGAACCCAAAAAACAAGTTACAAAACATACAGAGATTGGCACTTGTCTTTAGACCCATTAGTTCGATCTTCTCCCCAGAGACTCACATACACAGAACTTTTAAGTTTTCTTTTTATTACTGTAAAAATAAATTTGTAGTTCCAGAGTAAACAAAGAAACCTTACCTTCAAACTATTTAAGAACAAAGGTTCAAATTTTCATAAGATACATTTCACAGGGTTCACGTCAGCACCTTAACCAAATGCGTTTTTTGTGAACTAAGCATATTTCACAAAATTTTCATGTTAGTGATAAGGGGCTACATTCTCATCTGGATGCACATGTAACATGACTCAAGGAGAACAAACTGGAAGGAGCATGAGCCAGTTTCCAGAGTTTTCTGTTGAGCTCCACATGCTCAGAACCAACATTTAAGACTGAAGTTAAAGATTGACCTTTTGCATATTCCAAAACAGAAGGTAAATACCATCAACTTACATTTGGCTTTGAAACATTAAGATAACAATGTTTTATTTCAGCCACATATTTACAAAAATGTTTACAACAGAACCATGTAGGGTTTCCTTTTTTTTTTTTTTTGTCGTAATACACAAAGATGAATAGTCATCTTAACCTTCATGCAAAGACGCATCTCTTGTTACACAAGAAGTTTTCTGTTTCTTTTTTTGCACTCTGATTGCAAGCAGAGGGTTGAACAAGTTTGGGTCACCCTTAAAAGCGTAGGCCTGTTTGCTCTACTGCACCTTCAAAATAAGGAGGTTAAGTACAGGCACTGTTAATTGCCTCTAGCATGTTTTCCAAAACCAACAGAAATAGTCTTGAACAGTTGTCACATGGGTTATTCCATGACTTTCACCTCTTCAATTTACTTCCCAAACTCTGGAGTTACTTTCCTAGCAGCATACTTGCTGAGCTTCTTTTCTAATGTATCTTGTTGACTATACATTTTAAATTAAACTGTTATGTAAAGAATGTAACAAGCTTTTCCTTTGTACACAACTTAATCTTTGTGCTGAGTATTCTTCAAAAGGATTTTATAAATAATACAGTAAGTTTAGAATCAGTCTTCTGCCCTCTTGTCATTATACCATGTTGTTGCTTTCTCCAACTTTATCTACAAGCTGTAGAAAAGGAGACAAAAAGATTTTAAGCTGCATGACAAATGTACAGTGAAATTAAGTTACTCTCAAATGTTACTTGCTACTTGCACAGTTAGTATGTGACTGAAAATGAGAGTCAAATAGTACTCACCAAGGTCTCATGAATTAAGTTTGTGAAAATTAAAAATCTTACGTTGCAATTGTGCTTCTGCATGACATGTTTTTCTCATAGACACTAACAGTGCAACATGAAGATGCAACAGAATGAAAAAGGAAATAGAAGAATGCAGATAACACTGCTAGCTTAATGATTAAAACAAAACAATACAGTATCAGCCACACATGCATTAGTAGACCAAGTAAGATATTTCAACTGACCATTACTGTGGATTCTCTTCTGAGCCTACGTAGGCTTTGAATAAAACATTAACAATTATCTTTCTAAAACAAGATTTAACCCCATTATGATCAAATTAAATATGATTAAGTAAGATCAATTGACAAATGAAATATTCAATTGATCATGAATTATGAGCCAGAACTTGGCCTAACTATATGACTGGAACAGATGATCTTGAACACTAATTTTAAAAAAACAGCCTGTATGCATCTAAGTTACACCCCCTATTAATTTTTTAGTAGTAGATATTAAAACTTTTGCTTTCAAAACTAGGGTTAAAAATGCTTGTGTTAAAATACATACAGAAATTAGCACAGTAAAAGTAGTTGACTGAAACACCCTAGATTACCATCTTTCTGGCAACTGTTAAGTGTCTTCAAATACCTGGCTATTTGGTTAAGAAAATGGAAAACTGCATTTGAAAAACTACAAATCTTAGTAAATAGCAAGACACAGTCTAGTGCAGTGGACCTTAATAAATATATCTGATGAACAAGTATGCATCATGACAGTTTCTGGATTCACCATACAAGCTGCAACTTAACATTGAACTAAACTGTTTGCTTTTACAGGCCGCTTTTCATAAATATATCCAGGTACTACACAAAGAACAACAGCATCCTCCTCATCGTACAGACAGGAGACGAGGCACAGGACAGGGGCACAATTGGCCTGTTTGGTCACCTAGGGCCAACAGCGACACAGGAAGCAGAACCCCAGTGTCCCAATCCAGGGCTCTTCCCAACTCACAACACATACTGGGGGGCTGCTTATGCAAAGGTTTCCTTTTGCTCCTTTTACGTCTAGAGGTCTCACTGGGAATGAAGGCAATCTGTATGGTGCAAGAACTATACAGGAATACACTGAGAGTCACTGCTCTGAAATTATATTTGCTTTATTTCTGATGCATTTCGACTCTTGCTGTAACAATGGAATAAAAAACTGTACAAGCTTTAAATTTTGCATGAAGCGCCAAACACTTACCGAGCTTATACCAGGTAAATTCAAGAGATATCCAAGAACTGGAACTCTTCTAATAAAGCCAACCACCACAGGAAAGAACCCCCTTTAGGTAAGATATCAGGAGATTGTATTAGTTTCTGTAATTAAACTATTCTCACATTGGTATAAAATGAAGAAATAGGAGGGATTGTTTAAACCAAGATTACATCAAATATTTTAGCTTGTTAGCAGCACATCAGTTTTACCAAATATATCAACATACATTCAGCAGAGAAATGAGAAAACCAGGAAATAAACATCATATTTTTAAATGGACTTATTTTCCTTCATAACTGGCAACCCTCAGTCAGTTCTTCAAAAAAATAATTGAAGAAATAATACCCAACTTGGTCAACAGAACTGATTTCTCAAAATTACCATACATATTTTGAGATAATTATTTTTACGTTATAGGAAATACATTCTTACAATACCCAATGTAAAACCAACTGAAGTTAATTCTGAGTAATCCCCTTTGAAACCATATATGGTATTCCTTATATTAACTAAAGAAAATTAAACATGGCAGAGTTGTATATTTACATAAATTTGTGAAATAAGTTAAGTCAGAGATTTGAATCATGAGCTGGGGGATGTTGCCTAGCATAGCTGCTATTGTGCAGCCTCCTGCACTGTCCACTTTGTCTCTGCAGGAGGAAAACAAATTCTCTATGCCTGTACTTCAGCTGTTTGCAGCCAACTGCAGCAATTCAGCTGGTGGTGGCATTCTAAGTTATGTCTTGTTGAGCTATACATTCCAGGTGTCAAATAAGCATTAGCACATAAGTAGACCTCTGCCACAGTGAAACAGTGAAGTTTTGCAGGCAGTCATCCTCTTCACTACACTGGTAAGAACTATTTGCTGGGTAATACAAATACCAGCAAGTTTTTCTTAGAGATTTTCTTTTTTTAAAGACTGGATTATTTCAGTGGTCCAGTAAATTTTGATGCAGGGCACACAAACCACTTGTAACAGAATAACTGGTGTAGCCAAGAATAAGGAAGAGTTGGTATAAGAAGGCTAATAATGTTAGCCATAACTTTGGATGCCTGTAATCTGAACAAGGCTCCAAAAGCAACTTAGAGTACAAGAAGAAATACTGTCCTATAATAGCCTTGTCCAATGAATGCAATCTGAGCATGTGAAAGTATGGCAAAATACTAAACCTCTGATGGGAAACTTGTGACAGCATGTTAAATAATGACAAGAAAGGAAAGACATTTTCGATTTAAACCAGAGTAAAACAGCAACTGTGTGTGTCTCTCACTGCAGTCAGATGACTCAAAAAAAAAAAAACCAGTCTTTGCAATCCTGTCATTTAAGTGTTCTTGGTTACCACTACCTAATTGTTGCTTTGTAGATAATAGGGGCTCTGCAATTACTGCTACAGGGCATACAAAATATGACTGCGTAGAAGTCGTCTAGATAGGCAAGACAACCTACAAGTAAAGATTCTAGAGGGATCTGAACACCCAGTGGAACTGGTTTAGTGATGTAATTAAAAAAAAAAAAAAAAATCAAAAAACTGAAAAAAGTACAATATACTGTTTTACATTTGTAAACACTGTATTCATTAGTTCAGTTGTATTCAACTCCTAGTCTGATTTGAAGTAAAGTTACTGGCATTGCTAAAGCACTCTTGATAAATACAGAGGCTTTCCATATAAAAGTCCTGGTAACCCACATGAGTAAAACCATTAGGACAAACAGAAATGCCCACCCTCACAACATGATGCCCTAGTCCAAAGGAGCGTAAATTGATCTGATGTTCCTTGGTCTTAAAAAATTTACATACTTCAGAGACCAATGATAACCAGGAAAGTTTTCTATTATGTAACCAAACAGTGGGATCCTGAGGAATCATATAAAATGATGCTTGAGGAAAGGCTCAATTTTTAACTACAGAAAGGAGCAAAGTTGCTGAAAACACAATAATGGTTGAAATGAACAAGATTGAAGCAAAACAAAAAGCTTGCTTTGAAGTAGTAACTAACATTGTAACAAGGGATTTAGATGCCAACAAGTATTAATCACTAGAAGAGATGGCCTAGAGATGTTTTAAACTAAAACAGATCAGATAAACATTCACACCTGGAACTATCTATCCCTTGCTGATACTATTCTGCCTAAGGGATAGTCTTGCTGACCTACAGATAATTACTGACCTTCTATAATCCCTTCAACATTATTTTACCCTGATAGCCCCTGGCTTCACACCAATAGATAATCCATAACCATACCTGCTTAGACAGAGCAATTTATGATTCTTTCAAGATCTTTTAAAAGGAGGGGTGTTTGGTTGGAAACACACTCACTTTGTACTGGCTGATTAAACGCAAGAGCTACATGCAACGAGAGACAATGGATTCAATGAAATACCGAGATTTTCAAAACCCTTGCAGCGATAGAGTTCAGAATAACACAGATTAGAACAATAAAAAGCATATATTAAAACTGCAAAATTAATTTTCAGAAGTCTCACTGTCTTCAGTAGGAGCCAAGTTACATTTTTTTCAAAAAATATTTAAACATTTTTATCTAAACTAAATACAATATATAATTTTACTGAGTGGAAAAAAAGATTGCCATGAGAACAGTGGTTTGAGTGTTATTAACAGGAGCTGTACTCTTTAGTCAATAGCTTACCACTTTGAAAATATTTTAGGTGTCTTATTACATTAATAACCATTAATGAAATGGTCTTCATCTGAGAAGAAGTCCAAGAACAATTAAAAGCCTCCCTTCTTACTTGTTAGCATATTTTGTACTTTGGTCTATAGTGAAGCATGGAACTTCAAGCATAGAAATAAAGTTAAAATATACATGTATGCAGGTTGTAACACATCAAATTCTTTTACCATTACAACTGCATTTATGAAGAAGTTAAATGACACATTGTGAAAGCTACAACATTTATCAAGATTGCTGCTCAAAAAAATTTGACAATTTTCTTCTTTCCTTAACTCAGTTGAGATACTAGTAACCAAAGCCAGCAGTTCTGACTATACTAGGGTACAAGTGTAATGAAACATGACAGAAAACATCTTTTCACTGGACTACCATAGTAATGACATTGTAAGGTTACAAACCTGGGACGTTTGTAACCAAGTATTTTGTCCCATGTCAAAGAATAGAACAAACTCCCCACCAAAAAAAAAAAAAAACCCAAACCAAAACAAGTTGTCTTTTTTATTGAGGAAATAAACTTTGCACTGCTAACAATTTGGGCTTCCAGATATTCTTGAAGCTTTACAATTCCTTGGTTAGACATAAACATTACCAAAGTCAGTTTAGTATATGCCTCACAAACTTTAGCACACTTGAGTCTTGGAAAAATACTTACCAACTTTCCACTGCAAATGTAAGTCAACAATTTTATGTAAAAATCTATCAAAAGCAAACATTTAAAGGATGCCACTTTGTCAGATTCAATGTAGCAACACTAAATAAATATTTATACCTAGATATACCAATACAGAAAGGCATTTTGAAACAAGTCTTACCTGAATAATAGGAAGAAGCCATAAATTTCAAGGATCATTCCTATTAAAGGCCAGCCAATGAGAACTATGAGCACACCACCCAGGAAAAAGCCCGTTGCTTTCATTTTGTGTTTTTGAAAGAAGAATCTAAATGTTCTTTCTAAACCGATAACAAAAGACAAGCCAGCCACAAATAAAACCTAGAAAAGACAAAAACCAACCAAAGAAATAAAATAGCTAATTATATTCCTGAGTTTAGGATGTAAACATATATATTTATTCTACAAAATTATATTGTATTTCTTGCACAACTTTTTCAATACCGAAATATAGATTGTGAGAAGCAATTTACTAGTGATTTTCTTTTAAAAAAATCCATCTTAAAGCATTTGTAGCTAGCATTCAAAAACTCTTCTCTCAGCTGCTTAAAAAGCAAGAAGTCTACCTTTGAGGTCTCTGACAAACACAATCATGTCAAAAGACCTGGTGACAACAGTTATATCTGTCCTGTAACACAAGTACAACCATTATCCAAGTGTTGAAGCTTAGTACCACTGACAGCAAAGGTTCCTAAAAACTGAGAAGAGACATGTTACAAAAGCAGTTCTGTGCTGTGCCATGGACATCCTCAATAGCTTGCACTGGTCTACAAACAGTGCAAAGCCAAAAAAGGAAAACAGCTGAAGAACATTATCAGGTTTTTTGTTGGTGGAGGGTGGGTTTTTTTTGTTTGTTTGGTTGGTTGGTTGGTTTTGGTATTTTTTTTTTTACTGTGTACAGTCTTCCTACTGTTTACTAGTTCCAGTATAGACTAAACACTGTCACACTAGTCCCAACTAGTCAGAACTACTTTTAGTGTCCTTTAGCAACAGGACTTGTAATTATTTCAGCTTGTAAGCATACACCTGGGCAACATGTTTGCTGAGAAAGGGATAGTATCTCAGATTTTACTCAAGACTATAGATGAAATTTAAATTGTGTATGTTATTTAATAAAGCACTTTAACACCTCTTCCCCTTTCTGATATGTTTTTAAAAAACTTTATCCAAGGATACAATACCTTTTCTTGCATTATCTTTGGTTACATATCGTGTCATTGTTTCTTCCTACCTATGTTTTCATCATTTTCCCTAAACAGGATCTCCTTACATTAGGAAAAGAAAAAATAAGCATTATTTTAACTCTTCCACTATAGACTTTATTGATGGCTCAGAACAATGCTTCAACTAACACACCCAAATTGAAATATACATTCTTATATTTTCCTCCAGTGAATCTCAGTATTTGACCCTGCTGCTACAGAATGAAACTCATCAGTTTTGACCACAGACTTTTAGGCATCAGCAAGAGGATGTGAACCTCTACCAAGCTATGCTCCTGCTGGGCTGGCAAAGTTGGGAACAGCAGACACACAGAGATCATCACATTCAGAAAACATTTTATATTTCCTTTGGACTGAGAATTTTGCATACCAGAACTAGGATTTATTTTTCTATGCTGCTTTAACTGAAAACTTTAATCTGGTAAAAACTGAAGATATTAAATATCTCTACTATGAAGGGTGATTGTCCCTTTTAAACCCAGACTATCAGCAATTCATACTTCTTTCTTTTGTCATAAAGCACAGCAAAGCTTATTTGCTAGCATGTACAGAGCACTTCACTATTCTGATCCAAATATACACTTAAATTTGACAATTATCTTACAAAATCACAAAAAAGAAAGCATTAGTAGTAACAGCCAATCTAAATATTATATTTGCAGCAGCATAACAACTGTGGAACAAGCTGCTTCTTGTCTGACCAACATACCACAGGCCTGACCTGGAGATATGATTTTTAGATTCATGTGAACTGTTCTAACTTTTATCAGGAAAAATAATTCACTCTTATCACTAAGCATAACTCTTCTTTTATACCAAATTGCCACAGTGATTATTGTGATCCAGTTTCAAATTGATAACATTGTTCTATTTTTAGTTTATTTTTAATATATCATATACTTTGTTCTAAGCAGTGCAGAATCTGAGACTGAACAGAAGGCACTTACATTTCCAATAGCCAAAAGAGCTTTGTCAAAGAAGAGTATCATTCCAAAGAAAAGGAAAAACACTCCAAAGCCTGTTAGTCCCATTCCAATCTCTGAAAAAAAAGAAACAAATTTAGGCATGTAACAAAGCATAGTACCAGGGAAAACTCATGCATAAGGATTGTGAAAAACTTGTAACATCTAATCTACAGATGTTTTAGATTTATATAAAAACTCAGCCTACTTTATGATCACCTGAAAATTTTCCTGAGTGTACAAACAGTCAGTCTTGTAGACACCAATCACTTCAATAACAGAGAGATATTTGGAAGCTACTTATCAAAAAAAGTACATATTTGGAACTATATATTGAAATTGAACACAACAAAAAAAAAAGCATGCATGTAAATAAACATGGAGCAAAGACATCCCTTTTGAGGAGAAGAAGACTTTTGTGTGAACAGATAATGAAACTTTGTTTTCCATTTGCAACTCTTATCCCACTATGTTTACCACAGTAACATAAGTACCCTGGTCCTTTCCATCCTCCTGAGGCCTCACATTCCACCTCCCATAACCCTGCACAGCAGTTCCACTCCCCCCAATTTCGGGATTGAACACAACTCAAATTAATGCTGTAGGTTCCTTCCAAGTTACACACACACTGAGGGCTATTAAACACTGGCTTGGGCCTCCAGACAGTTGCCAGTTTTCACAAAACTAGTAGATACTAAAAATCTGAGTTCTGCCTGTCTGTAAAGGTTGCTGAAGAAATACTGGGAAGGCGAGTGGGATAGAAGATTTGTCTGAGAAACCAGGCTAGAAATGTCTAACTATGATTAAAGCTATCACTTGATAAACAGCCTCTAAGGTATCTTGAAGACCATACCTAGAAATACATCCCACTTTCAAAGTGAAACCTCCAAGGCCTGCCTTTGACTCTCACACAGACTTCATGGGAAAGAAATAATAGGAACAGGAGCAACACTGCTGCACAAAGCTTCACATTTATCCACGCACTTACCCTTACATTATTGCTATTCCTGTGACCAGAGAAGTTAGAAACCTACAGGATACACAAAAAGAGCTAGCAAACCCAGCCCTAATACTATTGACAGGCTGGCAGCCCAGTTTCTATCTGTGTGTGCATATATATATTATTTTTAAGATCCCAGTAGTTTTGTACAGTCTAGCCCCCCCCCAAAACAAAAAACCCCACCCACACTATCACAGCCTTTATCACTACTGTTAGTCAGATCTGCCTAAACGTATTTTAGTTTGACTTCTGACTGCAATGCAGAGCTAATTGGTTGTTTACTGTTGCTTCAAGAGCTCCGGAGTAAAGGAGTATCATTCCATCTATTTCAGAACTTCCACTTAGTTATTGCAAAAAAATTTCAAAACAGCTCAAAGATTTGTTACAGCAACATTCAACTTCCCTAACTTCTGTAATGGCTCATCTGTCAGCAAGGTTGCAAACCACATGGTGTTAAATCTGTAGTATCGCCTGCCCCTTTAAACTTTTGCTATGAGCATTTTAACCACCCAGAATTAAAACTACTAAGTAACCTGCTACAATGGATTTAGTGCAGACCTTTTCAATACTTGTTTAAAATGAAAAATGGAATTGCAAATTGTATTTTCAATTAATCTGCTGACTGAAGGCAGTATAACATCTGCCCTTCTGTCTAGTAGTCTTTACTTTAGAAGAGCAGAAACAATCTGCATTCTGGAAGGAAAACACTTGGAGGCAGGACTCCAAAGGAATTACCAGCTCCAATAAGATAAATATGCAATCATGAGAAGCAAGTATTCATTCCTCCCACAGACACAGCACCAAGCAGGTATCTAGCAAGAAGGCAGAGGCCAACTCCCAACAGCTGTTGCAATTACTACTCTGACACTTCTTCTGTATTCACTTGAAACTTGTCTGTAATTACCTACTCCTACAACAGATTCAGATTCACTTTAGAAGACAGGCACATTCTCTGGTTAGCGGAGGGGAAAAAAAACATAAATACCATTCTCACTGTCCCAAAATGATTGCTCAAAGAAGATGATTAGTCCAGGACTATTATTGCCTATTGCCAATATCTCAACAAAAGGTAGTACTGATTTGATTCATATCAGAATCTGGAAATATATTTGACTAGCATTCTTTGAGAAACAACAACAAAAAAAAGCACTGACATTTGGTACATAATCTTTGCAACAATAAACTAGGAATTTTTATAGAGGGTGTGAACTATTTTTAAATGCTTTCTCCTGCACGAGATGACTCTTCCCATATTACTCAAATACAATATTTCAATGCCTAGAAATGCAGAAACAGATACTAGCCACATGACATTTAAACAGGATTTTTAAAAAATTATTTTGATGTACCATGAGGATGGAGCAATGCTTTCTCAATGTTTCTGTAGAACTCCTGTAAGCTATGCAAGCGTACTGCAGTACTGTCTCAAAACAGCTTAGTAAATATTAAGACACATCGCTTGTTAAAGTTAAGGGAAGGCAATGTACATCCTGTAGCTTTTGTGTACAAAGTAAGAATGGAATCACGCACTACAGACTCTTGGAAGACAAAAATTAATAGAGTTATATGTTATTTTTTATTATTATTATTTTGTTAGCAGTGTTTTTTAGTATTGAAAAATCAGTTTTTCCCCAAAGAAATTAAGGGCAATCTTTCTCAGTTGCTGGTGATTTGTAACTCCATTCAATGAATCATTTCAAAAATGCTCTAGACTACAGGTGCAAATTTAAGTTTCCAAACATCAAAGAACGCAGTGGTCCTCTCCAGGTATTTATCATGCTACTGCATCAGTGACTCTACTGTGAGCTCTGTATTTTTGCCAGACAGCAATGAGTTTAAAAACACTTGATGAAACATCTTCAGAATTCCAGAAAAGCTGGGAAAACCCACTAAAACCCCCTGAACGCCACAGTATTTTATTTACTATTCTTGGATCTGAACGTTAAAAGCAACAAAGTGAGCACTGAAGTTAGCTGACAGTCCCAAATGAGGCAGTAAGAAAAGGAAAACCAGCTAATAGATCTCCTGTTTCTGAAGAGATTTCAATTTAAATGAAAGACCTAACGTTCTGCTTTACCTTGCAGTTTAAACTTTTATGAGCTCCTTTAAATTGATTCCTTTGTACTTCCCCTTCCAGCACCTCTATTCCCAAATATTCCCATCCAGTGAAAAGAAACCCGCAGTCACACACAAGCGCTCCTTTCTCCACTTCGGACGGAGCGCCTGGTCCTCACTCTGAGCCCCCTCAGTGCCACCCGCAGACGCTCCGTGCCGCCGCGGCAAGCGAGGAGCAGCGCAGCCAAGCCCCTCGCGCGATTAAGCGACTCCACGCCGCCAGCGCCCGCGTGGAGGCAGACGAGAAGACTCCGGCTAATCGCTACCGCCGTTTACCGCTCAGCTCCCACTCACCCTCGCCGCCACCCCCCAACCGGCCGCGGGAGGAGGAAGGCTCCCGGCAGGGGCGCTCCGCCGCAGCGCCCCGCGAGTGTCGGACGCGCCGCGGGACCGCGGACAAAGGGCGAGGGCCCAGCACCGGGGGGCCCGGCCCGCACCGCGCCGCGCCGCTCGGCCGCCGCCACCGGGGCCCCTCCCCACCCCCCGCCTCCAGCCCCGCGGCGGGCGACGCGCCCCGCCCCGCCCCCTCCCGCCGCGGCCGGCCAGCGGCGAGGGAGCGGCGCTTACTCTGGGTGTCCGAGAGGGAGATCATGGTGGCGGCGGAGCGGCGGCGGCGGCGGCGGCAGCCACGTCTTCCGGAAACACGCAGCCCCCTTCGCCTGGCCGCCGGGTGGAAGGGGGCCGCCGATTGGAGGGAGCGGCGCCAATCAGCGGCCACGTTGTTCGCGCGGCCGCGCCCCCTCCCCCCGAGTCTTACGGTGCCCGCCTCGCGGCTTTCGTCAAAGCGGAGGGGACGCCCCGGCGGGGCGGTGGCTGATTGGGGGGAGTGCACGTGGTCACACCCCCCCCTCCCCCCCACCTCGCCTCCTTCTTAGCGATTGGCTGAGCGAAGCCGGCAGCGGAAGGGGCGGAGCCGGCAGGAGAGCCGGGAGCTGCAGGTGGGAGCGGCTGTGTCCGTGGCCGTTAACGGCTGGTGCGGTGTCCTCGCGCCGAGGCGGGGGAGGGGGCGCGCAGTGAGGCTCGGCAGCGGCCACGGGTCTGCAGGCCTCCTCCTTCTCTTCCTCCTCCTCTGCCGTCGCCGCCCCGGCCCCGGCCCCGGCCGCCTCCGTCCCGCCCCTCCTCTCCTCCCTTCTCCGCGGCGGCGCCGGGGCGAGGCGGGCAGCTCCTCGCCCTTCGTGCCCGCGGCCGGCGTTGGGTTTGTGGGGGACGGATGGCTGAGGCGGCCGGTGCACAGATAACGCCCTGCTGTCGGCTTGGCTGGTTCCCACCCTCCTTCTCTTGATGATTTTTTTTTTTTTTTTAAGGTGGCTTCTCAGGGTTGGATGGATGGATGGGGAACTTCTTTAACCCGGTTAAGCTACCGCTGAGATGACACACCATGCTTGTGCAATTGTTGTTGGGTTTATTCCTTAATTTTAACGGTTCTTTATTTGATAACGCTCTGCTAACGTCACACACTTCTTAAAGTTGGGACCGAGGAGCTGTTATTTGGAGACTGGGTAGAAGGTGGGGTAAGAAAACTTCCAGTGCTAGGACACTGATTTAAGTCTGTGCGGGGTGGGCAGTGACGCTGGTTACTAAGCTGTCTGCTTTAGGCATCGCCAGGTCAGGGGCCTCTTTTTCCCTGGCAGTGAGCTATTTAGAAAAGGCTGTAATAGGATGAACTAACAGGATTTTGGCTGTTTTCAGGGTGAGGTAAAACTGTCTAATAGACAGAATGCTTCCACTTGCCTTTTGTCCACGGTGGTTTATAAAAGTCTATCGTTATTCAGTTTCTCAAGAGCTGCGTTTCTGAGGAATCAAATGGTAATTGGGATCTTTGTTGGCTGTAATGGTATAGAATCAGTTACAAGGTATGCTGAGCTACTGCTTTTAGAGACAGGAGCTAAATTAAAAACTTGTGGAACTGTAGCAGCATATAGGGAAACTTTCATAGGTAATTTTAATTTTATTCCCACTCCTTGGATAATAAAATGGTTTACATTTCCTGAGCTATCAGCCTAGTGATATTTATGAGGTCTGTGTTTACTGTGGGGAACAGAAGTGTATTGCACTTACAGTGTGTCTGTTCCACACCTACTGCTTTTTTTGGATGTTCCTAGTTGCTCTGTACTTTGGGGAGACTAATATTTCCAGATACTTCTGGGCAAGTGGCAGGTGGTATAAAGACAGAACTGTGTAACTCAAATTGCGTGGGTGACCTGGACGCTCCTGAGTTATTTTATACCATTATCAACTTCTTTGTGAGTCTTGTGAGTCTTTACCTTATTTTTATTTATAACCTCTTCTGGCAAAGTCAGTGTTTTATTCACACATTCTTTTATATATATTTATATATATATATATTTTTTTTTTTCCCCTCTCAGATTTAGCTCCCATGTATACAACAAATCGTTCAGAATGCAACGAGAGTGAGAGAATACCAAGTTTCTTGAGTTTTGTATTATTAGTATATAATATCACAAAGAATGTTGTTCAGAGAATTAACCAATAAATAGAATTCTAAGTTCACATCACTGATGATCTAATCAAATCCAGTCATCCTTCCCTGAACCAAACTACCTTTCTACTTCCTCCTAAGAGATCCTCTAGGTGTTATTGTGGGTGCTTTTCTAAGGGGTACAACATAATCTGCAACTTTTCTGTAAAATAATTTTTGAAAAGATTAAAAAAAAAATAGGTCGAAGCTAAGTGAAAGACTGGTCTATGTTAAACCATGCCTCTCATAGAAAAATTATGAGTTGGTCAAAATTCACTTGGTTTCATTTAGAAGGCTGTCAAGCTGTAGCCTTAGGAATTGGTTGTGAGTTGGTATCTGTCCCTTTTGCAGAAGGGAAAAAGTGCATTGTCATCTAGTTGGGCATCTTTATATAGGCAGATTAAACAAAACAGTACTTAAGCTGTTATATTAAAACCTCCTATATTAATGAAGAATCTCTTTATTCATTAAATAATTTTTCTTTTGTATTAATTTTATTTTATTCTTAGTGACGGTTGCTTGGTCAAATAAGATCTCCTAAGGATAACATTCTCTAATCTCCAAAGATGTCAGCTGTTTCAGGTAATCCAAAATTAGTATTCAGTATGTTCATTTTTCTAACAGGCACACTCACCCAATGTTATTGATTATTACTTAGATGAATTTAATTTATGCAGAAAAGTTTGTGGGGTCTATGTTATACTTCGGATTGGAAGAAAAGGTCCTTTTAGTGGATAAAGTTATGTTTCTTAGATAAAAGCTAAACCAAAAACAGGTTAGTCAAGGAAATTACTTAGTTTTCATTATTTTGAAAATACGATTTGTATTTCAACTCTTTTCTGCTGAGTAACAGTGGACATTTAGGAAGACAAATGTTCCCATTTTATGCCGTTTGTAAGGAGGATTATCTTTTTCCGTATCATACATTTTTGTTCCATAAGCAGATTACTGTATCTGCTATGCTTGGACAAAAATCTGTTACTTTGTGGGGCAGAGGAAAACATTTCCTCTTATGCTTTTCTGACCTGGCTCTAAAATACTGGTACACGCTTGGCATGCTGAAGTACGTATTAATTATTCTCTTAAACTCTGGGAATTGGGTTCCAGAACATAGTCTGTAGTTCACACAGATGAATATTAGGATGTAAAGAGGCAAATTCCCGCCAAAGGTTCACTTATGTAACCCAGGCTTCTGGGGAATAATTGCTTCAGATTTTTTTGGAATTGAAGAATGTCTTATGTTCCCAAAAGCTTTTGTGTTCTGTGTTCAAACCTGGATATTCAGATCATCTGGTTCTGCGTAGGAGGGAGATCTGGGTGCATGGAATGTAGTGTTTTGCTAATGTCCTTCTTTCCATCTTCAGAAGAGCTTTACTTGCTGAAGTTAATGTTGACTCTCACACGTAAATGCTTTCTATTAAAGATGTTCTAATGTTGTGCTCACCTTGGAATTGGCTGGAGTGCTCATTGTCTTCATTGTAACACTTGGAGATTTAATGTCAGGGCAGATAAAATATGCTTTTCACTGCTTAACACGCATCTGTAGAAAAGAAAATAATTTCAAGTGTTTCTGTGGAAAGGCACTGCTTTCGAGAAACTGGGTTGTGATACATTATTTTCTCTATTAATGCAGGCAATGATAGTGTTGCATATTTCTCATACGCCGTATTGGAGATGGCAATTTACAGTATACCTGTGTGTATATGACCTACTAACATAAGAAATATGTTAAGAATTGCGAGGTATTTTCATATGGCATATACAATATTAGGTGCTGTTATCTTACCAGTGGGCCTGTTTGTTTCTCTAGATCCTTTTGGCTTGTGTTTAATTTTTATTGTTCTCAATCAACAGATGAAATAAAGTATCCTTTAAAACTGGGATTAGCAATTTACTGTAGTTTCTATTCTGCCTTCACCCTGCTTTTCCCTTCAGTGCTAGAGGAGGTACTGGTTTCTATTGAAAATGAGCTGCAGGCAGTGGAGATGCAGATTCAAGAGCTTGTGGATAAACAGCAGGAACTCATTCAAAAGAAGATGAGGGTAAAAAGTCTGATAAAGCAGTCCTCGGGAGACTCGGAGGCAGGTGGAAGTAAAGACACCGAAACCTCAGCTGAAGCATGGAACAAAAAAGGTTTGCAGACAAATTCAAATATTCTAACATAGAAGTAAACTAATTCAGTAATGGGAGAATGTGATCATATAGAGTTTTAATTGGATAATGATATTTTCCTATTTAATTTTGTTCAGCTGGTGACCTGCCATCCTAATTACACAGGGTAATGTTTGTACTTTGCTCCCTGGGCACTCCTAAATACTAATTGGAGCTCTTCAGGGCAGAGTTATCACAAGAATGGCCTGTTACAACTACTTCTATTCTTTTCTTGTTGAAAAGTTACAAATTTATTTGATTTGATATAAAAATCCCAGAGTAAATCTGGATAGATTGCAATATTCACGTTTCCTGTTCGTTTATGTTCTAGAAATAATTACACTGTGTATTTTCAGGATTTGATAATAGTAGTCTTGCACTCTCAAAGTTACTTCACACTGTCTTTGTGTTTCTTCTTGCTTGAGTGGGTAGGACATTGGCTATGTCTGCTGTGGATTATGTAGCCCCACCATTTTAACATATTATGCAAATTAGATGGATGCTGACTGCCAAAAGTAACATGGAATACATTAGTACAGTAGAGTTAGTCCAAGTGGCAAGTGCCCCGTGGTGGAGTGAGGGCTGCTGTTCTTTTGGAAATGCTGTCTTTCAAGTTAAACACTAAGAGAAGTCCTGGATAGTTGGTGGGTCTTGATCATGTTATGACTAGCCAAATTAAATTCAGATATTTTTATTATTTTTTTTTCCCCCTCCTCCTTTACTTCACTTGCAATTTGGAGATGCATTGTTAGTTTCTGCCTGTATGTCTTGTCTTTTTTGGCTTTTTGAAAAATGAAATTAATTTTGTAGTCTAATCTATATTTGTCTGTGTTTCAGAAAAGTATTATAAAATATCAGTACTCTTACTATGCATAATCGCAAATTCATGCTATTGAACAAATCAATTTGTTTTTGGGTGACTTTGTGCCTAATTCTCTCTTCCTGTGCTTTGAAAAGTAACATCTTTGCAATCAGATGCTGTATACTTGTTGAATAAGAGCAGTAGCTAAATTTGGTCCCAGTATAAAACTCATTGAAGCTAGTGGGTGGCTTTTTTTGGTTTCAGACAGCTTTGGATCTTGGCTGTGATCTCTGTAAATTAGAAAGCAATGTCACCTTAAGTCCCAAAGTTAATTCTTGCATTGTATGAGGTGTAGCCTGGAGTTCCCACAGTTTTTCTGCGTTCTCATTTTAATAATACGAAAATGGTTAATATACTTCCTGATGCATCTGAAATTTGAGTTTTTACAGTATTATCTCTTTAAATGATGCAGTCTTTAGCTCTTTATTGAATAAAAGAAAAAGCTATTATAAGCATGTTGCGGTGATTATTTTAAGGAAGATTAAACTTCCCCTTCCTCCTCCCCTTCCTTTTTATTTTAATAAAAGCTTATTATCTCTGGAATATATGGAAAAAATAGTAGCCTTGCCTTCATTATAGTATTTGTAAACAATGTATTTGTGTGAGGGAAGCATTTGGGCAACTTAGTAATGAGACTATTATAGGGCTCAGTGACTGGTTGGGATTCTCCTTTTCATTTCATTTTGGACCATTCAGTTAACTTGATCATTAGCACTTTGAAGCTCTTCATCTGCCTGTGAGTTTTTAGCATTAGTTCACATTTATGTGCAATGAGAGCCTTTAGTCTGGAGGTAGACTGTGTTTACATTTCCTAGTGTTTTCAAAGGTCCACTTTGGAAATTAGTTTATAAAGACTCGGGTTGTTTGTAGCTTTTTGTGTGCCCTTATTGAATCTTTGAACACTTTCCCAGCTCTAAAATTGTGTTGCTTCCAGATTTAGTTATTGTATGTGTAAATTGCCCTTCCTTCTTTTTTTCTTTTTTAACTTGGTTATGAAACATGTTTGCTTTTTTTTTTTCCCCTTAACAGATTTTCCATGGTATGAGAAGATAAAAACTGCACTGCAGGGCAAGTTTAAACTCCAGAAGTTTAGGGCCTTGCAACTTGAAACAGTAAATGCTGCGATGGCGGGAGAGGATATATTTCTTGTCATGCCTACAGGTGGTGGAAAGAGCCTTTGCTATCAGTTACCAGCTGTCTGTTCTGATGGTAAGGGAAGAAAAGGTCTCCTATAAACAACTGGATTTATTTTCTCCCTTTTATGGTTATTTGGAGAATGAACATTATATTAGTGTCTAATATCACAGTATGGGGAAAAAAGAGCAAAGATAGGAGAGAAAGATTTACTAGAAACATGTGATCTAGATTTAAATAATTTATGTAGGCTCCTTTCAATATGTTATTAAACACTGAAAGAACTTTTAAAAAGTTTGTCACTATTTTTTTTCTTTCTTTTTTTTCTCTTTTAATTCAATACATAGACTGTAAGTTATTAAAGTATGGATATGTGTTATTTGTCTGTTCCATTCTGAAGTTTTAGCTTCAGGTTATTTGGAAGAGACTTCGTGTATAAATTTTTCCAAATAAGTATCCAGTTTTAGTCCTTAAGCTTTTTTTGGAAAAATAGCCCATCAAATTGCATGGAGGTTTACTTAGTTGCAAAGACCAAATTTACCAATACCTAGCATTGCTTAGTTGTGTGGTAAATTAGCACCTCATGACACAGATGTGAATCCAACTTTATTTGTTCTGTATATTAGTTCTTATACTATTTGTTGCAGCTCAGTTGTTTGTGGTCTAGATTGTAAGAGAAGGTATGTGTCACAGGCCATTGACGAGAAGTATCCCTATGTGACCTAGCACTCACTTATCAGCTATCTAGGAAGGGAATCTGCTACTGTGTATAAAGCTTAAGCTCACATTTGACAGTTCCTTCAGAACAAGGCTGATGACATCTGAACTGTTGAGTTTGCACAAAGATTGGTTGTTACAGGTTTCACGCTCGTGATATGTCCTTTGATATCACTTATGGAAGATCAGCTCATGGTTTTGGAACAGCTTGGTATTTCTGCAACTTTATTAAATGCCTCAAGCAGTAAGGTATGTTTAACTGCCAAATCTTCGTGGGGTTTGTGGTGTATGTGCTGGCATCTTGCCTCTGTATGTTATTCATAAATATTGAATGAATGGTGTAGTTTTATCAGCTAACACCATTCTATTAACAGTATCTTGCCAGCTACATGCTGTGATATTGATAATGTGAATAAGTATCTTGCATTCTTGTTTTAATGACAAGAACACATGTAAACCAATACCTTTTATGGGGCTGTTTAGAGGAAGTGAAGTACCTTTGGCTGGTGTGTGTGTGTGTTGTAGATTTTTACTTGGTGTCTAGACTTAAAAGATTGGAGAAGGTAATTTTTGTCCACTAGTAACATGTTGAACAGTGCAGGATTTTACATATATTATTTATCTTATTTTAGGATGGTAAGCTGTTTGGTCCAGAGGCCAAGAAGCAAATTATTTCCCAGTCTGTTTTTAGTCAGTTGCTTTTTACAGTGAAATATATTTTCCTGCTTACCAGGAGGCCGTGGTCATTAACTTGCAGGTGACACTGGATTTGATGTTAGTATCTTGAGGCAATGTGCTGAACTTGGAGCCTCCTTTGAGGTAGAGAACTTTGAAAACTTAGTAATAAAGACTACAGTTGTGTGTAAAAAAAATAAAAAAAAAAAAATATATATTTTACACTTATAGTACCACAGGCATGTTTGATACATTGCAGTTTACTGGGAAAATACTGATAGCACATGATGAAGCAAAGGCAAATACTCGATATTTTGCTTTTTCACAGTTCTGTGACAGTTTTTCCAAGTACTAAAATTAACATTTTATATATAATCTTCTGCAAAGTCTTGTAGTAGTCGTAAATACTGTGTAACAGTTTATCAGTTTCTGTTAATTACCATTTATGAACTGTTAATAACTTCCTAAGAACCTTAGCACTAAGCAATGTGTTGTCTTAGTTTGTTGGCCCCTGATTTCTCCTTTTGTTTTGAACAGGAACATGTGAAATGGGTTCATACTGAAATGCTAAACAGAAATTCGCAACTGAAGCTCATTTATGTGACCCCGGAGAAGATTGCAAAAAGCAAAATGTTCATGTCAAAGCTAGAGAAAGCTTATCAAGCAGGGTGTCTTGCTCGCATTGCTGTAGATGAGGTCCATTGCTGTAGCCAGTGGGGCCATGACTTCAGGCCTGGTATGCTCATTAGAAATCCATTTTTCAGTGTTATTCAGGCGTCAATAAATACTGAGTTAGGCCTGAAATAAAGCCCTGTGCTTTCTTCATATGTTAAGTAAATACTTAGTGTATGGCAAGTACCAGTGATAGCTCAAAGACTTTAAATTTAATTCACAAATAACTACATCCTTGTCCAGGAGCAAAGTTCATGCAAATGGGGGGTGATTTCAATGGTGATTTTACTGTCAGTATTCTGAAAAACTCCTAAATCAGTTTACTTTAACTGGAGCTTAATAAAACGAGTATTTTTGACTGCCATTTTCAATATGAACGATACAGTCATCTCTTAATCTACCGCTACATGAAAAAGTGTCATTCTGCACACCACTCCCTAACACTGGGTGACAGGGGTAGAGCGTTTTGTAAATTGATGAGATATGTTTGCATCACTTCTAAAGCAAGTTGAAACAATTGCCCTTGACTTGCAGGGAAATTGTGCTTCAGTTTGTTTCCAATCTTGTTAGTTGTGGAGGACTGTTACTTACTGGTTACTGTTTCTTTGCCTTTGAAAGAAAACCCGATTTGAAGCAATAGTAACTGTAAAGTCAACCTTTGCAGTTTTGTTTAAAAAGTGGTGTCTGAGCAAAGAGCCACAGCAGTTAAACAGGCAATGTGGTATTTGGGTATGTGCCTGTGGCTGCATTTCTGTTCTAAGGCAGCAAGTGATTGTCAGCACTGAGCCTTTAAAATCTTTCCTTAGTACAGTCTGGTCTACGTAGCCAAGTTCTAAAATGCTTATTAGCAAAGCTATGCTTTCTGAAAAGCTGTTTATTAAAGCAGACCTGTAAAATAAACCTGAATGTTGGTTAATACAGTGCCACTCATATTTTTCTAACTTTTTAAGAACTTCTGTTTCAATATGTTTTGCCTTCTGATTCATGGCTGCTTTTCTAAAATTCAATTAGAAGAGAAATAACCTCTTTTGACAAGTGCAACCTTTTTATTACTTCATTTGGATGGATAAATTAGTTCTGTGGCAAATTGGTCAGTAATAGCATTTATTGCAGTATTACCCCATTGAATGCTATCTACATTAATATCCTATTTAACTTTGCATCTGTGGTATGAGAAATCTTTCTTTTTCCCCTTTTTGTATTCTTGCTTAGACTACAAGTCTCTTGGTATCTTGAAAAGACAGTTTCCCAATGTTTCCTTGATTGGATTGACAGCAACTGCTACAAATCATGTTCTAAAGGATGCTCAGAAAATTTTACATGTTCAAAAGTGTATTACCTTTACTGCATCTTTCAACCGGCCCAATCTTTACTATGAGGTATGTCCTGTTACCTGTTTGACTGCATCGCAGTCATATTCTCATTTGTAAGTTACACTTGATGAATGTTAGAATAGATTTGCAATTATACATTTTAATAATAAACAGCTTTTTGACTGAATGATGGTATACTTTCATGACTTTGTCTTGCTGAATTTACTGTCATCTGCAAAGGCTGCTCTGTCTTTGTGAACAAGGCTTAGCAGATAGGAGTGTGTACAGGGGACAGGTAGGTAACAGGCTCACTGCTTCAAATTATTGGATTTGTCATAGGGTTGCAAAAAGTTGTGAATTATTGTGTTGTAATGTATTTTCAGTTTGACCACAACTTCTTTTATTGTTCTTCATGGAAAAACTTGTGTGCTTTTTTTTTCTATGGACTTTTGAGATGTAAACAGACTACACAAAGAGAATCTAGTAATTTTGGCTAAATGGCAGAATAGTTGTGTTTATTATATTGGAAGAAATAGGATAATAGGATTGATTGACATTGCCTGCCCATTTGAAGAACTTCCTGGCATGTGTTTATTATATTTTTGAGGTTCGACATAAGCCTTCAAATAATGATGATTTCATTGAGGACATAGTTAAGACCATTAATGGAAGATACAAAGGTCTCTCAGGTAAAAAGTTGGGGGGGGAGGATGGGAGAGGGGAGGTGAAAGAGCATGTTATTTTTTTATAATCTTCAACATTACAGGGATGTTTTCAAGTGATTCTGATATGTGTAGAGAAATTCTACCTTCACCATACAGTAAACATACATAAACATCCAGCATTAGAAAAAATTAAGTTCAACAAGATCTGTACTTTGAATAATTACTCTTTTCATTCACTAGTGTTTAAATGTCTGTACAGTTTACGTATCTTCTGAAGTTTTGAAATACAATGTATATAGAACAATGAAATACAGAAGTGTATATTGAAATACAAATACTGAAATACATATGTATATAGAACAATGTTTACTTAGATAAGAATAATAGCAGTTTTTAAGGTTGTAAAAACAAAGCTCAAAAATGGTTATCTATATGTTCTTAAATCACCTTTGTGTCATTTAGTATCTATGTGTCAGGGTACTTACTGTCTTGAACACTTCTTTTTCATACTTGATCATAAGATTCCTGTATTATTCAGTGCCCAGAATGGGTGTGTGATGGGCTAAATTGCACTTTTGTGATGAAAGCAGAACTGTAAAAGTAGGATTTTGTGTAATCAGTAAATTATGTAGTGCAAATAAAGAGGAGAGCTGTATTACAAAGGCAACAGAACCTAATTTTCCAGAGCAGCAGCCTGTCCCTGTCCCTGCTGTGGAACTCTGTGGCTGTGATGAGCAGCTCCCCGAGTACAAAGTGCTAAGATGATGAGAAAATGCATGACTTTGTGTGTGATCCTTGATTTAGCCCAGACTGACTAATGACAAAAAGCAGATTTGTCTGAAACCTCAGGTGAGATGTCATAAGGAACAGCACCCCTTTACATGAGCATTAATAACCACTGTCATCCTTGAACATTAATAGAATACTTCCATGTTTATGTGGATTGGCACCATATTTCTTCTTTAGCCTACAAGTCAAAGCTGATAATTGAAGTTCCCTTCATGGCTACCAATACTACAGACTGAATAGGCACAAAGGTTGTTTACTGTTTTTTATTTACTTATTTTAAAGTTAATAAAACTTTGAAAGTTGTTTTTAAATATTGGAGATTGTTTGGGGTTTAAGACATTACAGTAAGGCATCTTTCACTTTTGTGCAGGAATTATTTACTGTTTTTCTCAGAAGGATTCTGAGCAAGTTACTGTGAGTTTGCAGAAACTGGGAATCAAGGCAGGTACTTACCATGCGAATATGGATGCTAAATATAAGACCAAAGTTCATAAAGGATGGGCAGCAAATCAAATCCAGGTTAAGTGAATACTTTTCATAGGCTTATGTCTCATTTAAACAAATTGTGTTTTAGTACCTTGATGGTTTCTTAATGTTTTTTCAGGTTGTAGTGGCAACTGTTGCTTTTGGCATGGGAATTGATAAATCTGATGTGAGGTTTGTAATTCACCATTCTATGAGCAAATCCATGGAGAACTACTACCAAGAAAGTGGACGTGCAGGTATTGTAGGAAATGGCTTTTGCAAAGTTTACTATATATATCTGTTATCTGATTTCAGCCATTTGTGTTGTGTCTTGTCTTTGAGACAGGTTCCAGAGTGTATAATGCCACTCTGCCTCTGTAAAGAGGCTTTAAAGCGAATATAAACTATATTAATAATCTCAGTCTTCTGTACTGCAGTGTAGCAAAGAACAACTGGTTGCCTAGCCTTTTACTTAGCATTTTTTTAATTACTTGATTTTTGAGATATCTGTGGCTTACCAGAATAATTTCATAATATGACATTGACTGATCAGATGTATGTTACAGAATTTTTTTTTTTTCCTTTGCATAGCAACTGAGGTGTGTGATTTGCTCAGATTGTCTCTGGGTGATGACTAGTTGCTGTATGAATTTCAGTGGCCACAGAAATACAAGTAGATTGGAGTGTCTGGAGCAGGAGACTATTAAGGATTGATGAATGTATAGTAGCACCAAATAGCTGTTGTGGCTAAAAAAAAAGTTTTTGTGGTGTTTTGGTTTGGTTTTTGACCTTATATATTACTTTTTCAAAGACAGATTTGAATCTGTGTGGAGGAGAGCTTTTTAAGGACCTTGAGTGGCAGCTGTTTGAAATTTTAACTATGCCTGTGTGATAAAAATTGGACTTAATGCTGCCTTAAGAAACACAGCAGTCATCGAAGTTTGTGAGAGCTTCTGTCTGCTTACACTAGAACGAGGTTACTTCTAGATAGTGCTGGAGGTAACAGGAAATATAAATATTGAAGTTGTGAGACAAGGGCCATATAGGTGCTGAAATAGTTGTTTCATAATGCTTATCAACTCGGGATCATTAAAGCAAGCTTTTGTGTTTCTTTTTCATATCTCTATTTAAATGAGATTCTTCTGGGGAGGAATTAAGTACTGCTACTCATTTTTCTGAACATACTACTTAGGTTATGAAACATTCCTCTTTCCTCCACTTGCCCATCCAAGTGAAGTAGTTCCTTTCTCTTATGTTAAAACTTAAACATTTTAAGAAGTTTTTAGGCCATTTCTGCTTTCTGGATCTTGTGTACAGCAGCACATAATTGGGAAAGGTGGGCAATGGGAAGAGAGAGATGAAGAAAGCTCAGCTATAGAAGTCACAGTTGGTTTTAAATGAAATATTTTGTTAAATCATACCTAATTCTCTCCTTATTTATTACCATTAATACCTGATAAGGTATTTGAAGTTCACAGTATTTTTTAATCTAGTAAGAATTATGCTTTGAGCTGTATTTGGCTAGGATTTTCCAAGAGGTGTTAGGGTGAGAAAATAGTGATTTCACTGACTTTCTATATGATACCAATCTTTTATTTTTGTTGGTAAAGAGTCAAAATAAGTTTTGTAGTGTTCTCAGTTTGCTTGATGCTGTACTAGAAGACTGTTCTAAATTATTTTATTTCTATTTGTATCATGCTGTGTTCTATCAGCTAATATGGTTATGCTTGATACTATATCAGTCATACACTCTCTACATAGATGCTGCAGAAGCCCATGCAGATAAGAGTGGAATTTGTACCAGAAAATGCTATGCTTAAAATCTCTTCAAAATTTTTTGTTAATTTTAATGCATTGCAGGTAGAGATGACCAAAAAGCTGACTGCATTTTGTATTATGGTTTTGGAGATATATTCAGAATCAGCTCAATGGTAGTGATGGAAAATGTAGGGCAAGAGAAGCTGTATGATATGGTGTCTTACTGCCAGAATACAAACAAGTAAGTTACTGTGGTGGCTTGGTTGCTTAGCTTTTAAATAGGCTAATTTTGTTGGGTTTTTTTAGAGGGTATTTAAAAAAAAAAATAACCTACCATAATACCAACCCACCCACAAAAACAACAAAACAAAAAAACCCACCACACTGTAGAAGCACTACTATTGTAACAGTCTTGAGTTTGGAGTTTGTGGTTTGACTGCTCAGTACGTGTACTCTTGCACATAACTGAATGTTGGTGTGTTACTTGCCAGCTTCGGGATAAAGTTATGGAAGCAGTTATGTTGAGGTGAAGTATCTCAACAAACGCTGTTTGGATTTCAAATCCCATTCAGAGCAAAAACTGGAATGCTTTGGTTTTTACTGTAAAGTACCAGTGTTTAATGGTCATACAGAAATCTACATGTGTTTAATGCTTCATCTGCTGCATGGAGCTATTTGGAATACTTCATGGGAAACACTTGTATCTGTTGTGGACAACTCATGCATTCAGTATAGCCTCTCTTGGCCTTGATCTAAGAATTAATTCATATCCTGTTTGATTTTTTTCATTCTATTGAAATTGCAGGTTATACTTACTTTTTTGCTTTAGCCAAACCGTTCCTACAGTGCTGGTTAGTATTACTAAAAGCTACTAGTTATTTCTGTTAGCATAACTGACAGGGAATACTGTATTGTAGTACTTGCTTTCTGATTTTTTCCTGAGATAATTCTTCATGCTTGTTTCGAGGTACAAGCTGACCCAAGGGACCTTATTTTTGCCACTGTCATGATTTATTACACAGGCGTATGCACTTAGGTTCTATAGTCCCTCTTTGCTCTCTGTTCTTTCAGGTGTCGCCGGGTCCTCATAGCCCATCATTTTGATGAAGTATGGGATTCTGCAAACTGCAACAGAATGTGTGATAACTGCTGTAGAGAGAACTGTGAGTAAATTGTTTTTTTAACCAAGGACCGAGAACGTGGAGAAGATTGGCTTAAAGAAATACCTAGTTTAGACAAACTGTGAGCAACTTCTGTAAAGTGTTCTTGTAATGCTGCCTGTTTCCAAGGCACAAATTTTGTAATGAACAGCAGTTTTCAGTGGCTTAACATTGCCAAGCTCAGGGTGTTCAGCAGGATACTTCCTAGTTTGGCTTTTTGCCTGAGACCAAACACTTTGGTATCGTTCAGGCTCAGCTGCTCATCTGTTTCCAAAAGTGAAGCTGGGACAAGGGTGAGATTGGCTTACCTGTTTTAAAGATTCTGGTATGTGTCAGGATTTGTTTGGGTGTGAAAACCTTATTTTGAAAAGGAGCCTCTTGCTCTCTGCATGCCAAGCTGTTCACACTTAGGCACTAAGAAGGCACAGTTTGCATATGTCCTCTTACAAGTTGCTTGGTAAAATCTCTGAGGATTTCAGTGGTGTGTGTTCAGGAGATATACCTGTGTCAGGACTGTTCATGACAGTTGTGTCCAGCAACTGAGCACACTAATTCAGGTTTTTGCTGTGTTAGCCCTAACAGCACAATGTCTAGTGTGTGCTTTTCCTTTGGAAGAAAGTTGGGATCGTAAGAGGGAAGGTATATGGGCCAGAAGTAGAGGGAACTTGGGAGACAAGCTGAACCAAGGCCTGCTGCATGGTAAAGGAGGATGGTTTCAGTAGAATGTGGTTCTGGGACATAAGTTCTTTTGCTGCTTTGCCCAGAAACATCCTGGGTGCTGTTGGGTAGCTGGCTTTTACTACACTTTCATGGGCGATCGTTGCGTGCTTTGACTGTCATTTTTGGTGCTCATCCAGAAAGCTGGAAGTCTGCAGATGCCCAAAGTATCTGTTGCTGCACTTATTAAGCGAGAGCTGTAGTTTAGACACAGGAAACCCCATGTAAAGCTAGAAAGCTCTGAACAGTGCTGAGAAAAAGTTGGTCCTGAGCATCTCTCACTGGCCACACAAAACCACCTAAAATTTCTTTGAGGACCAGGCAAATTCTTGTAATAGGTGGAAAATACTATCTCCTCATACCACATATCTGCTGCAAAACATTTGGATAATGTAATGGTCAGCACTTGAAAAACTTAGGAAAAACTCTGTATTCAAAACTGTTCTCATAACTAGACTTTGTCCCCCCCAAAATGCAGGGAAATAACATAGACAAAACAAAGGTATTAAATATATTTTTTTTCTTCATACAGTTAATTATATCTACATAATAAAACTGTTTGGCAAAAGCATGCAAGTAACAATGTCTTGTTAACTTCTAGTTGGAAATGGGGCTTAATTGAATTTTATATTGGGATCTGAGGTTGAGAGAGAGTGTAGAGCTGGCTTATACCCAAGACTTCGAGGAGCTATGTGATGAAATATAGTTGTAATATATCCTGTTTACTGCCGGTATACCCTCAGGGCCTTTTGATATATAATCAAGGTCTGAGGAAAGCTAGCAGTACTACTAGTTTTTCAGTACTTAATTCTCAGTATTGGAGGAGGCAGTTGAGGTAATTCTGTGCCGTGATTGATCATGCATCAGAAGCATGATCATTATATACTACATGGATGCGTTAGTGCTCAGAATAATTATTCATGATGAGGCTAATTTGTATAATGAAATTAATACTTTTTTTTCTGCCTCATTTTGTCTGTAAGTGTCTTGAGAGAAGAATTGTCAGATTTATATTCTTCAATTTGTCTCTGCTCTTTAATCTTTCCATAATAAATAATATGGGTGAGGAGAAGGAAACCAGCTGCAGAGTAACACAGTAGCTACCTTACAAATTTTATGCTTTATAAATGCTTCTTTGAAATAATTTATGTGGTTTGTAATGTTAAATATATGTTAAAATGTTTGCAGGATTGGAGTTTTAATAATGAAGTAGAAAGATAAGTGTAAACCTGAGTATGAATACATCCTAATTTGACAAAGGGAAATTTACAGCTTTATTTCTTAAGTTATACTTTAAAAACAGAACACAAAAAGCATTGCTGTTATATGGCATATAGATATATGTTTATAAATATATATCTCTGTAAATATATAAAAGTACATATGTATGTTTATAAGGATACTATGTAAATAACTGTAAATAATACGTTGTTTAAATATTACTTCACTTTTGTAGCATGTGAGAAAATGGATATAACAGGATACTGCAGGGATCTAATCAAGATACTTGAGCAAGCTGAAAATATGAGTGAGAAACTCACCCCACTGAAATTAATTGATGCCTGGTCTGGGAAAGGTATATCAAAATTCAGAGTGACTGAAGTTACTCCACCAAAGCACCCACGAGAGGAACTGGAGAGAATTATTGCCCATTTACTGCTGCAGCAGTATCTGAAGTATGTAAGATGACTACTTATTTATTTTTTTTTATATCCAGTAGTCACTTTTCTTTAGTCATGTGTTATTTCTGTGTAGTATTAATGTGGATACATTCTGTAGTCTCATTTTGAGCCTTTATTTCAGATGCATTTAATGTATTTAAAAAAAAAAACTCAAAAGATACCATATTTCTACTTCAAAATGGTAAAACAGAAGTTGGAGGAACATTTGGAATGCTGTATCTCTTTCAAATTTAAAAAGCTGGGGTCTTCTGTATTCAGGTTGAACCTTTAAATCTGCAGCAGGCTTCATTTTGGAGAAATAGTCTCATTTACATTCCATGGATAAGCAAAGCAAATAGGATTGCCCAGATGAAGTCTAGGTCAGGACAGGCCAGCTAATGTGGAAAGTGGTAGTCGGAAATTTTAAGAAAGTATAGTGAAAATAACAGCAGTGCTTCTTTTGTAAGCTGGCTATCTGTGAGGTATGTGTTTTGTCTTTTCATATTATTTTGGAAGATCCAAGAATATGTACAAATCAAATATTTAATCCCTTTATTTTTGTTTTAAAATTTTTTGGCATCTGTTTCTACAGCTGACTTCTTATACTCTTAAGAGGGTGAACGCATGACTTACTACATCTTTTTTTTTTCCTCATTTTCTCCATGTATTCCAACAGATTGATGTGCGTGTGTGGGTGTGTGCAAAGGTCCACAAACTGAATTATGTTCAGTTGAAGTGTTGACCAGGATAAAGCAGAATCAAGCTACTGTTTGAAACATCATCAGAAGGATTAATGTGTCCGATTTTCCCCCTGCATGGTCTAGCCTGCCTTTGTTTCCAACCTTCCTTTATAACACTGATTTAATTTATGCAGGGAAGACTTCAGCTTCACAGCATTCGCTACAATATCCTACCTGAAGATAGGACCAAGAGCAGGTCTACTGAAAAATGAGGCACACGTCATAACTGTAGAAGGGATAACAAACAAGAAAAGTGTTCACAAGGTATTTATATCTGTACTGACTTGCTATACAGATACCTTTTCCGTGATCGTTTATTTTAATAGTTTGGTACATGCTCGATATCTTTTTCATAGTAATGCAATCAAGAGGATTTAAAATAGACCTACTATCTTCACTCTTGTGTGGGAACATAAAAAAAGGAAAACAATATTAGAATTTTAATAGACTTGTTTATAACTTACAGGACAAAACATCTCAACCTTCAAATTCGAAAGGAAGCAGAGAAAATGCTCAGACTATTTCAAAGACTGTCCAAGATTCAGTGATGAAAAAGTCACATGAAAATAAACGGCGTAACTGTGGTTCTGACGTAAAAGCAAAGAAGTTTAAGCTTCAGGCAGGCGGAGATGACCAACCAGTAGTTCTTGATTGAGTTTCACAGACTACATTTAGGATCTAATCATGTTTGCTTCTCCATGGACAATACAGTGTGTAAGTTCAGTTTGTGTGTTAGTAATGGGGGTTTTGTGCATTTTTTTAATAAAAACCAAACAGGGAATCAAATGTCTTTAAAACCCTTGAATCTAGAAAGAGTCTAGTAGTCAAGGGAAAGATGCTTCATATCAAAATAACTGGTCTTTAATATCTTGCAATACAGCAATGACTACAAAATGTAAACAATTACCATGTTGCCTTTTTAACTCTCTTGGAAGTATACTATGTAGTAACACTTTTGCAGAATCACGCAGGCTGGAAGGGACTTCCAGAGATCATCTAGTTCAACATCCTGTGCAAAGCAGGTCCAGTGGGAACAGGGTGCTCAGGGCTGTGTCCAGTTACATTTTGGCAGTCCCCAAGGATGGAGATTCCCCAACCCCACTCGGCACCTGTTCCAGTGCTTGACCACTTTCATGACCAAAACAAAAGAAAAAAGGACATTAGAGCTAACTTATTTGCTGTGTTGCGACTTGTCTATTGCCTCTTGTCCTACTGCTGTGCTCTTCTGAGAAGTCTGGCCCCATGGCTGCTATGCCCTTCTTTTAGGTAGCTGAAGACAACAGCAAGATCACAACAGTCACTCTCTTCCACTCCACCTGCCATCCTCACTTCTTTTTTTAATCTGGAAGAAATCCAGTTCTCTGCTTCTCCTCTCTGAGCACCTAGGCAGCTTGGTAGCTGTCTGCTAGACTCAGTTAGGTATATCAGTAGGTTTCTTTTACGGGGACTTAAAAGAAACTTAACCCAGCACTCTAGCTGTAACCTCACAAGTGCTGAATACCCAGAAAGAGTCTTTCCCCCAAATTGCTGTACTTTAGAGAAGATTTTCAACAGGGTGCTACTTCAGACTTGTAGAGGTTTTTGTGAAATATATGTATCTATCCCTTTAAAATAAGTCTGTTGCTCTTAGAACTGTATTTCTCTAGCTTGTTATTCAAATAGAAAATTACCACTTCTGTGCTTTTCAGAAGTACCTAGGTTTATGTTTAAAAACAAGGTAAGTTCTCTTGATCTCAGCTCTTCCCTTTGTAGAAGTTATACTTTGTTGGGGAAATACAGAAAAAGTTTCACTCAAGAAATATTTCTCTGCCTTCTTTTTTCCCCTCTTTCCCCTGATGAATTGGCTTATATTCCAGCTACAGATCTGTATTCTAGTTGGAAGAGAATCTGGTTGCCCTAGGAAATATTCTTCTGCTCTATAATCATTAGACCATGACTGCAGTGAAAGTTGCATACTTTAAGCTCTAAATGTGGGCTGCATTAAGTTTAATTTTTGGGAGGTTTCTGAATTCTAGTCCCTTAACTTTGCTACTCCACCTCTCCATTTCCGCACATTCCTGTTGTTTGTGGAAATGGAACAGAGAAGCAACTGTAGGAGAGTATTGCTGCTTGTCTGTGTCTTAAAGTAGAGTGTCTCTACCATTTTAAAGAGCAACCTCTTTTGACTCACCTACAATTCCATTCACATCATGCCTTGGTTCTGTCAGGGTAAGAAAGCCAGTGCTTACTGCTGCGGATGTTCTTGTATTCCCTTGTCCCACACAGCTGAGTGGCTGATGGCAATTAAATACCTGTCCGGGTGAATGCTGAGTGTGTTTCTCTGTAATATACAGGTTCAGTGCAAGCTTCGTCAAAACTATAATAGTTGAGAGAACAAAGATGATCAAGATCACTCAGGATTACAAAGTAAGAGTAGAACAGAAAACAGAAGTTTTTAAGATGTTTCACAAGTAGTGGGAAGTTAATTGATAAATTACAGTAGAATTTTAATTGAGGTTTGAAATGAGATTGAAACTGACATAATTTTTTTGCTAGAAAGGCAGAAAAATTGTATTTTGAACAGTCAGGACCTGAGGCTGAACCTGGGAAGACCTTAGTGTACTAGGTACTTAAGGGGTAGTTGATAAAAAGAATGCTTGAGCTGTTACCTTGATGAGTCAGAAAAACATGAGCTGCCACTGAAATCCTTTGTTTTGTAACCAACCAGGCCTTTTGCTGCTGCTGAGAACTCTGTGCTTTCAGTTCCACTTGTGCTGCTGGGAGCAAGAATAGCTGGGTTGAGGGAAGAGGCCTGGAGGGCAGCTCTGCCCACACTGTCAGTTCCTGAGCAGCACCAACTGCTGGGCTTTGGTTTTGTTTATGCTCAACCACCTTTAAGCAGTGCTTAATCTCAAAAATGCAGAGGTCATGGTTATACTATGTATTAAAAAGAATCTTTGAACCACATGGAAGTTACAAATAGAGTGGTCCTGTCCTTGACCCTCAGGGTTCTGGATTTCCCCTCTAATTTCTTCTGAACGAGAAGATAATGTATGTTGAGCCCCAAATCCCAGGACTGTAAAATGCTGCTGGGATAAATTCAGTAACCAGGAAAGTGCCTTTATTAACTCCTTGGAGACTGATCTCAACCTAGACCCATGTGACCTCCCTCCTCTCACATGCACTTCAAGAAGTTGCTAGAACACTATTGACATCTTAATATTTACATTTGACTACTTGTCTGAAAGGAATAATGGAAGGCTCATTTACACGCAGTAACTCGACTTGAGGAAAGTGATACTCTTTTCCAAAGACAAGATCATCAGCATCCTGTCTTAAAAACCTCCTGTGCTGAGGACTCTACTGCTATCAATATTCTCTGAAATTGGTTAATTAAAAGGCATCAACAGTGTTTATTCATGCAGTCCTACCTTCTGCATTGTGTAATTAAGTGGCATGGTGTCTTTTTCTTCATGACAGACCCAAGGTGTTCTATGGACTGAAGAAAATCTTTAGCTATATAATTTTTCTGTCTCCTATTTACCTGTATGTGAATTAGTAGTATGTACCTGTTGACTTCCTTTGAACATCAGTGTTTCCAGAAACAAGTAAAGACCCAACAGCTCCTGCTGACTTCAAGCATTGCTTAGGCACAGAGGAGGTTGAATGCTAGATTGGATTCATTTATTTATTTAAGACCTTAGCAGCCAGTGATCAGTAAGGAAAATTCAAACTCATTATAAAACATGAGTTCTGGTAGGTTTTACTTTGGATCCATTCCCCAGATAGTCAGATGTATACCAACTGAAATATAAACCAAGCATAACTAAGAACATGCTCTTCATCTTTATTTTTCCGGTAGAATCTTGTCAGTGACTAAAGCTTAGTATTTTACCCATTGTTAACTGAAACCTTTGCCAAAAAGGGAATGAATTCATTTAATTAAACAGGTTTTTTCTTAAAAAATAATTTAAGAGTGATTTTCTGGGAGAAGTCTCAATATGTACTGCCAACTTTGCATTTAGTGGAGTACAGCAAACTGGTCCCTGTTTGACCCTAAATAAACAACAGCTTGTGAGTAGCAATTGTAGAACAAAAACAAAAGCCAGTATGAAACAACCTCTCTCCATGGATGGGCCAGTATGAAACAACCTCTCTCCATGGATGGCACTGTGGAATACAGAGAGGATGTTATGAAATAGCTTACAGTGTTGGGCTTTATCACCTAGGCACTAAACTATGCCTAGGAACTAAAAAAGGAGCAGCTTGATTGAAGCAAACCTGTACATATGCATCACTATTATTAAAGTGCATCTTGGGTAACTAAACATACAGCCAGGGGCGTAGTTGCAAGTGAAAACAGCTAGCTTAAACCCCCCTTTGCAACTTAACAGTAGGTATTTCATCACTAGTTACCACAAATCAAATTGGGAGTTTAGTACCTGCAAAAATTCCTTCCTGGAACCAATATGCATGATGGGGAGCGAGGAGAGGGCAGAAAGTGGCCAAGAGACATTGTCCCCAGGAACGTTCTCATTAAGTGACTGTAACCGCTGCCTAGGGAGATTCCCACCGGGATCTGGGTCTCATGTTCCGAAGGGCAGCCCGGAGCACCCACCCCCTGAGCTGGAGGCAGCAGCCTGCTCCCCAGGCCCCTGCCAGGCCAGACGGCTGCAGGCACCATCCACCCCACCCGTGCTGGAGTTAAGCCTTTCCAGGGAGCAACCTGCACCTGGGCCCTGCTGGAGAGCAGCCAGGCTGCACCAGGGCAGGGCTCTCACCCTACAGCAGCAGCTCAGGTGACACCGCATCCTGGCTGTCTTTGTTCAGAGTTTTTGTGTGAGTACAAAATACGTTTCTTTCAGAAATAAACTTATGGGGTAGGGGGGAAGAGAAAATAAGGCCTCCATCTTGCTATCTGTATTTCTGGGTAGTGAGAGCTACGAGCACAGATCTCCCCTGTTAATCTGAGCCAGCCTGCCAGAGCGGCCGCCCTTTGCTGGAACAGGAGTCTGGAAACCCATGGCACACACTCAGAGGTCTGAGCTATCGGGATGGTAACACACTGCGTGGCTGCCATGTAAACATTCACCCGAGCAAAAGCAAGTGGCAAAAGCACTCATAAGAACACGCCTGGGAGGAGGCAGCTGCAGGCAGGTAAGGCAGCACCATTCCATCAAAGCACCCTGGCTTAGCGGGGGGGGAAACCAGCTCTGGTAACCCCGGCAGATGAATTATGCATGGTTTGGGGAAGAAGAGAGCTCTGAGGCAGGCATGGCATTTAACGTGTTTTATTTACTTTTAAAACATGAAGCCTACCTTGCATTCAAGTGAACGCAGTGCTTTCTTAACAGCAGAGCAAAGCCCACAGTTCAAGACTGTTAAAGCCCTGTTCTCATATGCTTATCTAATCTAGATGGAAACTCTGCCAACGCTAATCCACTTGCTTTTGTTGCTGCATTTCTACACAGATTAATTTAATTTGCTGGTCAGTATTTTGACAAAATCAACACAAAATCTTAGTATGGCATTCCATTTATCCCTCATTTCTGGTAATCCAGTGTCAAAACTTCATACAAAATTGAAATGAGGTTTTGTTCAATCAAAATAATCTTCTATATCAATATCTGGATTCAGGAGATCTTCACCATAAACTGAAAGATCCATTTGATTTAAAATTAAATTTTCAAAGGTTTCTTCCAAGTCCGTTTCACCAATCAGCACAGCTCCCATCATTCGGCCACTCTGCATCACTACTTTAACATACTCTTGTCCCTTGGTACATCTCAGCATCAGTTCATGGTCTAAACCCAAGCCTTGAGCATTGTATTTTCCCAAAACCACCACCTAGCAGAAGGAAAAAGAAAAAGCACTCTTAAGAACATGCAGTGATTTTTAGTATCTCTGCTGGTAACAGTTCTGAGCTTCAAACGACTGATGTAAACAGGGAAATATTTGTCCCTAGGGAACCTCCCCTCTTCACTGGCTTGCAAACCCACAACAGAATTAAAAACCTTCACCTTGAAATATCATACATAAAACCCAGTAACAAACCAGTTGCCACACTGAGCTGTGTTGAATTTATCCATGAATGGAAACTTCATGAAATTGAATACATACAGAGATGCAAAGTAGATCAGCTGTCATTAGTTCAATTTTGTAATCTGTCTGTAAAGATCTCTGCCCTCTTCAGTTTTAGCAAAGTTAGTTATGAATGGAGAAAATCTAAACAAAGACAAATTACACATTGGAAACTGTTTTGTCAATATTAAAGCATCTGCTCAGTGTTGGCAAGCAAATATAAGCAAACAGTATGTGTTACTCAGTGGTTTAAGACTATTAGACTGTATTTACCTTGTAATTGAAAAATTTTGTAACATGAGCAAATAGTTCAAAGCTGAAATCCATATCAATAGATTCTCCTAAAGTATCTGCTGCCATGCATTTTGCTGCATACCATCCCATCTGCCTAGCTTGAGTCCACAGTCTCATCTAAAAAATACAAAAAAGATTTAAAACCACTGTGCAATGACCAACTCTCTGTTCTCATCAATGCGTACTACGTATTTCCATTGTACTCAGAAAGGCTGAACGGCTTGGCTATCGGCCACGTGGATAAAATTATCTGTCATCAACACACCCAGGATTATCTGCTTGTTCACTGGTTTCCGCTTCAATTAAACTTTCCTTTCTCCCATCTGTGTAACAGTGTGTGGTTTACTTTGTAGATCAGGCTGCTGCTGAGCACATGATCGTGTGATTTGATTTACCTGATGCCACACTGGACTAGGTTCCCACGACGCCGTGCAGATATCGCCAGCTGCGTATATATCTGGCAGGGATGTGCGCATGTGCTTATCTACTTTAAGACCTCCATCTTCACCTACAGCAAACTGAAGTATTTGCACAGATCAGCAATAAGAAAGATAGTAATTTAAACTAAGTAATTCAACTTCATCCATGTTAAGCAGTCATCTTATTTGTTACTTTTTAACGGCAAGTTCCTAAAAAAAAGTCAGTAAATTCACTATTCTGCTTAATTAAAACATCTGAAGTTATAAGATTATATGAATAAATACTATGGGAACCCAGCAAGATGCTCTTCTGGATGCCATGTAGCAACAGAGAAAAAGGTAATTCAGTGAAAACAATTTATGGCTCTTTACTCCCCCACCTAATCAATTAGAAAAGACTGGTAACTACAAGAGAAACACGTTGTTCAAACCTCACAATCTCAAGACTCCTTCAGTTTCAAGGGAAGAACACGGATCTCCTGAAGAGTGCCCTAACGAAGTACTTTTCACAACTGTCTACCTATCAAGTATTACTTCTCCATATTATAATGCAACCCTGCCCCCTTCAGAATTTTTCCGAATCTTATCAAACCTAGAACCCTTCAAATAAGCAAAGACAAAATTAGCCTACAAAAGCAGAGTTTCCTAGCAATCTCTGCATTTTTTTCCTCACCAAGTTTAAGAACAGATTAGTGTTGCATTTTACAATTGACCTTCACATACCCTTTAAAACATCTCTAAGTATTAAACAAAATATTAGAACAGCATTATATACTGAATGAAATTATTTAATGTGAGACTACCCAGAGCAGCAAAACCTCCATGGTAAGATACAAAGCATTAAGCAGCATTTCTAAAACATAGCATAGATTTTACAAATATTATTACTGATACCTAGGCAGGGAAATACCTGACCTTGCCAAATTTCAAATCACACTACAAATGTTATAATGACACTTAGTCTTAAGAGTTTATTTTGTATTTTTGCCAAGGCCAGGTATTTGCAATGGTATTTTCTAATTCCTAATCTAACTTTATAACATAGGCCCTGAAATATTTCATGGCTCAACATCAGATGTATGTTTTCATAATTTTCTTCTGCTTTATTCAGAGGATAGCATTTTACTTTCTAATCAGAAGGAACCACAAAATAACCAAATACCTTAACATACTGGTTTTGCCTGGGGTAGAGTTAATTTTCTTCATAGTAGCTTGTATGGGCCTGTGTTTTGGACCTGTGACGAGAACAGTGCTGGTAGCACAGGGATGTTTTATTTGCTTCTGAGCAGCGCCTACAGAGGCAAGGCCCCTTCTGCTTCCCCCACCGCCCTGCCAGCAGTAAGGCTGGGGGTGCACCAGAAGCGGGGAGGGGACCCAGCTGGGGCAGCTGACCCCCACTGACCCGAGGGATATTCCACATCACGCCATGTGCTCAGCCAGAACTGTGGGGGCGGGAGAAGGAGGAAAGGGGGACGTCCATAATTATGGCACTTGTCTTCCTAAGCGACCGTTCGCCTGAGGGCCCCGATTTCCTGGAAATGGCTGAACGTCTCCCTGCCGATGGGAAGCACTGAATGAGTGCCTCATATTGCTTTGCCCAGATTGTTTTTGTCTTAAATCACGAGTTCTCTCACTTTTAACGCTTCCCACTCTCTTCCTGCATCCCACTGCGGGGAGTAAGGGAGCTGCTCTGTGGGGCTGAGCTGCCGGCCCGGGGTTAAACCAGGCACCTAACATGGAGACAGAAAGATCTCAGGGCCTGAGAATTCACACGGCAGCTATGAACTCTGTAACCATCATCCACATTCAGATGCTGATTCAAAGTGTAACTTCCCTTCATGAATATGAGCACCTTTATAGCTCAGGTTCCCAGATGATGAACACTGGAAGTAAAAGTTTCTCCCGGGAAGGAAGTGCTTAAGATTTATAAGATAAGAATATGGTGCAGAATCAACACAAAAGTTATTCTAAATTGTTGCCACATTAACCAATTATACAAATGTTTTTCTCTCTTTGTATGGGCTTAAACTTAACAATTTATATTTTATATAGACTGTGTATTGGTACATATGAGGAGCAACATAGTAAGCCAGGAACATAAAAGAAATTAATTTTTAATATGTTCGGTATTTCCAATACCAACATACCTGCCTTATTTTGAAATGCTCTACA